GTTATATATAAACTTAAAGGATTTGAAGGGCAATTCAAATTTAGCAGGAAGAGAAGAGCATCAGGGAGAGAAAAGGAGATTTTTCCCTAAAATTTTCTCTTTGAAAACTTTATTCAAAACAAGCTTAAATATTATTCTTTCTATATAATATACTATAATAGCTTTCCTTTGAGGACCAATACCCAAATAAGTGATTCATCTTGTTTATTGCTGATTAGAATCTTGTTTATTGATGATTAGATTTTTATTTCAGGTTTTTATGCCTCTTCAATTAATGTTTCTTTTTTTTCCTTTCCCTCCTGTTTTTCTAACATATTATAAATGAGGTTAAGTAGAGCAACATCAAAAATGAGCTAGTCTTACTGAGAGATTCTTCATAATTTCCACCTTTGCTGTTGAAAGGTCCTTTCACGGACCTAAAGCCACATTTTAAATCATCAGAAATATTTGTGTTCTTTCTGCGTGGGGGAATATTGCCCGAGGGAGCTCGTCCCATGCCCAGCTGAGGTGGAAGAAGTGTGGAGGCTGATTTACTAGAAAAAAAAAAAAAACCTTATAAAATCCATACACTAAATCAGCACTGATTAAATAATAAAAATGTTATTCTTTGGAGGGGGGCAAATTTTCATTCTTCACACAATTCCCAAATAGTTAAGCATTTTGCAGTCATTTATTAATAAACATTATTTAGATAACTTATCTACTGAAAAAAATAGAAAAAAGGCAGAAAAAGAAAGAAAGAAAAAAAGAGAACACGACTCTCAAAGTGTCTGATTTGACAGATCTGTGGCATTTTGGGGAAGGCTGCAAGGTCCAAGGAAACGAAGGATAACTGTTAGCAAAGCGGGATATTGCCCGACTGGCCACAAGAGAGAGCTGCAAATCCAAGGAAGGCCGAGGGCAGCGCGACGATCTGGGACACCAACGCGCTGCGTTTTCCCACTGCTGCAAGGAAGGCCGAGGGCAGCGCGACGATTCGGGAACAAACGCGCTGGGTTTTCCCACTGCTGTCGGGAAACTCAAGGAATGATGGCTCTGTTTATCGACACGAATACCAGGAGGACGATTAATTATTGAAGGCTTTTTTCTTAAGAAGTGTAAGGCCACGTTTATTACATAGAGCTTTAAGAAAATGTCACTGGTATGGTGGATGGTGACGCACTAAAATGCAAGCTGTGATTCGGATTTCTGGACCCCATGTATTTGCCTCACTTGTCTTTTCAGATTGCGGGTGCTTGAATTTCTGCATTGTTGAATGCTGTGTTTTAAGAAAAGAAAAAAACGTTAATAAACCCTACTTTGGAAAAGCAAAGCCTAACGTCTCCTCCGTTGTGACTGCAAAGAAGTGTGGAATTCTGACAAGAAAGTCTCAGAAATATTATGTGGTATTTGTCTCAAAATTCAGAAAGAGAAGCAAGTAAAAAGAGTCAAAATGGGAGAAGTGGGGAAAATTAAGATGAGGAAGGAAAAAGTGTTTTAGTGCTGATTTTATTCACCAGCGCAAGATCTTTCCAATAACAAGGTCCACCATTGGCTGTTGTGATTGCTCTAGGAATCAATGGGTCCGTTCAGTATCTTCAGGCAAGCTCGGCCCCTTGCCAGGTGCTCTGCAAGCGTGTCGCTTCTTTAGTGAGTTGGGTCTTTCTTTGCAAATGCCAGTGCAGAGGGACCGTCCTGCCGCCCGTGTCGCTGGGGGAAGCACCCACGGTGTCACCATGGCTTTGCTGACAGGCGTTCCTGCCATCCCTGTGGCACAAGGGCAGAGCTCAGCAGAGCTCGTGCACTTCAGCACTGTCATTGCTGACTTTCTACTCGCTCATCAGTCTCCCCTTTCTGAGGGGTCACTTCCAGATGGGGTTACTTTTATTCATTTAAAAACAAACAAACAAACAACCACTTTTCTGTGCATTGCCTTCAATTCCCTGACGTGCTCCCAACACACCTGGACCCGTCACCATCTGCTGGCCTGGAATCCTTCTCATGGAGATGCAGTGTCACATCTGGCACTGTGACGCTGGGGCCAAAGTGCAGCTGGGGACAGGGAGCAGGGCAATAATAGAACGAAATTATGAAAGACCCAATCTTATACTGTGTCTGGTGGGTTAATGAAGTCTATTTAGGAAGTTGAACAGAGAGGATTTACAATGCGTGCCTGCCAAACCTGCCAACCGCACAATCTTGCAGATGAATCCAGTAAGGTTGGAGTGTAGAAGCAGCCTGATGCTCTCATTCTTTTGTTTCATTGGCTCAAAAACGCCTTTTTCACCACTCTTAGACTGCTAGCTTTTATCTCTGACACAAAACATATATGTATTTGCAATGCAAGCTTCTGAAACTCAGTGCAAATAAACATTAATATCACAGTGTGACATTTTCCACAGTGTGGATCCAGCTCGCAGGGACCAGATTAAAATAGCCTGTGTTTTTGTTCTCCCTTGTCTGGTTGTAGCCTTTGGAAGTGCCTTGCCTGGAAGATTGCAGCGGAGGCTGAGAGAAACAACTGTAATGACTTGGCAGAGATAAGGTTGTACACTGTGTTTGCTGGTAATCTGTGTCCCTGAACTGCAAGGAGAACCAAATGAAACGAACGGGGGCCTTAAACTTGTCATTCAAGGCTGTTCACAGGGAATCCCTGCTGACACAGGCTGCGGGGTGGATGGAGCCTTCCCATGGATGTGCAGGGGATGCTGAGCAGGGAACTGCTGCTGGTAGAGGACACTGCGTGTCCGCTTTTCTTTTCTTTTTTTTTTCCAAGTGAATTATTGCAAATATTATTTATTAAGTATCTATCTTGTGTGGGAGAAAAAAAAAAAAAGCAGTAGCCTGGTAGGCAAAGGGAGCAAGGCAAAGGGAAAAGGGAGATCTTGAGGACAGTCTGGGGCAGTGATGGACAGGAACATCTGACTGCTTTTATGATCATTATTCTGTTTCCAGGAAAGCCAGACCCCAAGGGAGGGTGTAGGCTGCAAGCTCTGCTGAGGACAGGGTGAGGACTGGATGTTTGTATGTGCTTTTTGGCCCCTTTAGTGAGAGCCCGGCACAGCTTTTAGGGCAGATCTCAGCATGCAAAAACAGGCCAAATGATTTACCAAAAACAATTTGTAAATAATTCTGGGTTTGTTACAACAAAGACACTAAAATCCTGGTTTGTTCCCTATGCATAGTTGTGGTCAGAGAGCCCTGGATACAACATTTTCCTGGATAAAAACAGGTTCTTACATTTAGGTCATATCAGATGTTCAGGATTATCTGACTTTCTTCTTTTCACTGTGAGATTCAAAGTTTCTAAGAGACGTTCAGCTCCCAGAAGATTACACTGATCTGCTAATAATCCATGAAAGGTCATAGTTAGCATAACAGCAGCCTGTAATAGTAGAATAAGAGTTTTCATTGGCATTTTGCATGTACTTATTTGTGCTGTTAAGTTGGCATTTGGGCTTTCTAAAGGTTCTATACTTTGGTGAGCATTAAAACCTAGTCTCTCTGCTCTTAGTTCTATCTCCTGATGCTTTAGTAAAGACAAATAAAAACCAAAATGCTGAAGGGGGGAAAGGTGCACTGTGAGCAGAACGCTTGGCTAAGTTGGATTTCATCTTTGGTGATGATAGCCTGGCTAGCTGAGCAGGCAAAGCTGAGCTGTGACAACCGAGACAAGAGGGTCTGTCACAAATGGGAGACTCTGAAGAGCTGGGATTTCCTTGAGCTCCAAGAGCCTGGAAAAACTCTTTGAAGCAGAGCTGACAGAGGCTAATTTCACTGAGACAGGCCCAAGGAGCTCCAGATTTAAGAGGAACAGATAGTCGAAAGAAATTGCAGGCAGGACTGGAAGCACTTACTGCTCTGAAGTTCATTACATTCCCAGCATGAAATACTTTACATGAGACTTATTTTCAAAATACTTAGGCCATTATTTGAATAAAAGAGCCAAGTCTTTCTTGCATTCATGTTGAGAGACTGACATTCATTAAAATGAACAAGTGCCTCTTACCTACAAAGTAAGCCTTGGAGCAAGTCTCTGATCCAAGGATTTGACTGAAGGAGGAGATGAGAAGGGGAATAATAATGAGGAACTGGATGGAAGTTAAAAAGCAGTTGCCTTTGGCGTGTTTTTATTAATTTTTGGTTACGATGGGGGAAAAGGTTGGTGTGTTTAGTGAAGTTCCAGTGCTTCACAAAGTTAGGATGAAAATAGAAGTTACAGCAAATAAGTGTTGAAGTAAAAATAGTTCAGGCAATGTTTACATGAAGAATAAAAACATCAGACAGCAAATATTTTTCAAATATGGTTGCTTCGTGTGGTTATTTCATTCACAATAACAACAATAACGAATATCCAAGATTATAAAGCAGAACTCTGCTGTTGTGTATGGCAATTGTCTTTTGCTGCTGTTCAGTAAAGTCATAAAGACAGAGGATAAGCCAGGCACTTTGCTTGTTGTTCCTTTCCTAACCTTGTTCTTTTGAATGTGAGGAAAGGTCAATCCTGCCCTCTGTGACTGTCCTTGCCCCAGGGTTGATTACGTTTAAACTTTCTTCCAGTATGTGCCAAATAAAATGACGTGTTTATATTTGCAATGCAGAGTGTATATATATATATAAAAAAAGACCTTGGTGAGCCTGAATATTCTTTCACCACTGTTATTTTCACAGGTTGAGGTCTTTGTTGATCTCCTTCAGGTCAGGAATTGCATTTATTTTTCTGTGCTCCTTGGAAACAGTCACACAAAACATATTTTTGTACTTACTGTTGCAGTAGCACAACTGCTTCTTCAGTCCCTTTTAGTTTATAAAGCTCTTAGAACCAAAGGATCTTTGTGGTTGGTTTCAGTACAAACGTACTACACAGCTTGTCATTTCTGCAGCACTTTCAATGTTCACATACAGAATTCTTTAGCGTCATAGGGCCCTTTTTTAGGCATGCCTTTTGCTAGAGCTTAGAAACTCTTGTAAATGAAAGTCATTTTGCTATTCTGGCCCCTTTTTCAAGTAGGAGGCATTACCTCGGGCTGTGCAGTTCCAGGTTCTGGTAACTGAGCTGTTCACGCCTTTGTGGTTGAGCTCCAGCAGCACCGGGGACTCTCCGTTCTGTTCAAAAGCAGCATTCACTGCTGGAGAAGAGCAGGAAGAAAAAAGGGAAAAAAAGCAGACACTCAATAACCCTGCACATCGTCCAGCAGAAATAGTCACTTTTATCATTACCACAGGATTTCATTAATGTGATGGATTTTACAGTATTCTGCTCATGTGGAGTTTGGATTTCTAATCTAAATAAATCACATCTGTAGTAAAGATGAGGTGGACAGGAGCTGCAGCTGGGCACTACTCTTTCATTACAAGAGAATAAGGAATTTATAAAGCAAACCCGTGCGAGGAAATCTAATTTAAATATGCATTGAAACCAGATATTTTAGCTAGGCATGATTCACATTTTGAAGATTCTACAAAGGTGAAAGTATGTTAGAGACTTCAACACGCACAGCAATCTTTTCAGCTGAAAAATAATGAGCAGCATAAGGAAATCATATATTACCTATCGCTCTGATCACAGAAATAGCCTAGTAATACTTCCTTGCCTCTGTTTTTTTTTTTTTCTGTGAATTTTGATGTGGGAAGCTCAGTGTCCCGCTGTGGAAATGTATGGGGTGAGGAGCCAGGGTGACTCTAGGTACATCTGACTTCCTTGGAGTATCTCTGTAACAGTCTAGGACATCATTGGCCAGTTTGATCCTTGGTGTTCTTTCCCAGTTATACATCAAAATTCATTATCATACTTAGCTTAACTATTCTGTGGTGAGATATTTTAGATCAATATGTTGAAATCACCATAAGTTACCTAGTCAAATGATTATCAATCAGATTCATTTCTAAATACCTTCAAATTCCTCAGGGCAGCATTTTGACATTTCCATACCTGAAATGTTTTGAATAGTCATAAGAAATAATTGATGAATAAATGACTAATAACGATAAAACCATTATTTCTTTTCCTATAGGATTCCAGGAACATTTGGCTTGGTTTGTATTATTGGTTTGATAAGCTGTTGAAAACCTTTCAGGCAAGAGAACCACTATCCTGCAAATTTAGGTCAACATAAATGATCCTCAAATGAATGCATTTATACTGCTTGTAAGATACATCTGAATAAGATACTGACGTGCAGTTTATTCCATTCAGTGAGGACAGATTAAAATAGATTAGTGATCAATTCTGAGACCATTAAACACTGCTGTGATTAGTAAAAACAAAACAACACAAACAAGTAAAACAGTAACATGTTGCCATCCACTGTTATAAAGGCATCGTTATAAAAGCTTTTACAATTCAACATGCTAAAGTTTATAATGAGAAAAGTTAGACCTCAGAAAATTATTCATTCCATTTTGGTATATGAATAAAAAAATCAGGATGTTTATTTCACAGAAAGTTTACTGGAATATGCTTCCATCCCTTATGCTTTCTCTACAGTTTCCTGTTTCCCCTTGTGATATTTCTTCTATCAATTCCATCTTTCACTGTACTCCACTATAGTTACCTATAATGTATACAAGCTCATTCTTGTCATGAAGTATCAGCACATACTGAGTGTATCTGGAACACATTTAAAAAGTTTTGGACCTGGAGACTACAAGGGATATGACTACATTGGCAAGCAGAGCAGACCAATAGCAACCACATTGCAAGGTAAAACAGAGAATCAGAGTAGTTTAGGTTTGAAGGGGCCTCTGGAGGCCACCTGGCCCAATATCTTGCTCTAAGCAGGTCCAAATAGATCTGACTGCTCAGAAACTTCTTCAGATTTGTTTAGAATAGCTCTAAGGATGGAGGTTCTACAATCTCTGTTGGTTAAGTAAATTTACGCTCTTGGTCGTGTTGGCACGGCTAATTAGCAACTCAGGTGCTGTTACATATCTTACATCTACAGAACACAATACTTTTCAGAGAACAACTCTGAACTTTTCAAGACAATACTACACTAACATATCCCAAAATTCTGTTTCACAAAGTGTCCTCTGCACCTAAATACAGTAGGTTTGTGAGGATCTACAGATAGGATGCCAAAGCAATTATTACAAATATGTCACTACATACACTTGTTACACGGTGGCAATTTAAACCTCAGGGATCTATTTTTCCACTTTTTCTTCTTTTTTTTCCCCACAACCTTCTAAGAAGGCTCAGAAGTGGTGGTAGCTTGGCAACTTTCTACTTCTGATATGAGCTCCATTTTCTCCAGTGTAAATAGGTTCTCCGTCTGGTGTGCCTAGAGGATTGTCATCATATATAAATAATGATATAACCCCAGAAAATAATATAACCCCCTCC